ACGGCTGATTGCAGAAACTTTCTTCTGTGGAGTACCGTTCCTACCGTCGACAGTGATATCAACTGCTGCCTTCCGACCGCTTCCACCTACTTCTAAAACGGCGTTTCGAAGCGTAGACCATGCCGATGATCGCCTGAAATAATCGCAGCCTTAATGTCATAATACAGGTCAACACATCTTACAATGGTCGTATCCGTAAAACTTCATATAAGCGTTGATCGGTGAAGTTAGTGCTTTGAGTACCCCAAAACGACAGTTACTCTTAGCTGGGCAACAAAATCAGTGCTTAGTCCTACTCTGCTGAAAAGTTCTCAAAAAACTCACCTCGAATCTATCTCAAATGTTGAATCTGTGTTGTCGGTCAGACTGCTTCCATAACTATTCATTGAGATACGCCGAAATGTATCACCACTGCTGTCGGCAGAGGTGTAGGACGAATGGCTGCTGTTCGACGGCACAGAACATGGTGATGGACATTCAAAGAGGCGTGGAACCTGTAGTTAGGATTTTCTGAGTCTTCCGATCTGTGGCCCCAGAGTAATTTCAACAGGTACAGGTCAATGCTTTTGTTACGCTTAAGCCTAGGAACAAAGGTTATATTTGGTCGTAGGAGACATGAGGTCGGATTTTTTTGCGAGAAAATTTTGTGATTGTTGGTTTCTTCAATTTGAGGCGCTCTATACTCCCTCTCCTCGGCGGCAACGCGGAAGTACTGTTCCAGTCGGAGGCGCGTACACCGCCCAACCCACCAATAGCAAAATGTTGAGAAAAGTTGAGAATATGGTAGACAAAACAGGTAGGGAACTTAAGGGGTGGTCCTAATTTGCAAGACTTTTCCACAACGTGATGTGCTCAGATCGTCTTTCGCGCTATCCATGCTGAACAACATTGTGGATTCTTTGGAATGGGTGACGAATGGCTCCAAATTTTTTTGTCCACCAGGGAACATAGCATTAGGGCTTAGTGATTTACAAGTAAAAGACCTAGCGAAAGGCAGATGAGATTGCTAATAAATATCTCCCTCTCTCTCTCTCTCTCTCTCCTTCCTCCTAGATGAACAATGTGGGTTTTCGCTATAGCCTAGCTCCGCATGCTTTGAATTTCCATATTTATGAAGAGAAGGTTTATACCTTCAATGTGCAGTTGCTGCTCTCGCGAATTTTCGGCGATTGGGGCGGAGTGTTCACTGCCATCATTGCCGGTACCATGAGAAACGTCGGTGGTGGTATGTAAGAAAGAGGCCTGAAATGGGACATTGCACCTTTAACTGATTGATCAATTCCTCATCAATACAGATGACCAAACTAACTTTTTCTGCTTATGGTAACATGGCACGGCGAGCAGCGGCTTTTGGCTAGCTTCAACTGGGGTCGGCTCCTCGTGACATTCGTTCTTTGGTGCCAGTGTTGAAGGATCGACCTGAATGAACAATCCTTTCATGATTCTGTCGCGTACTTTATCATGATGCGCTGTGAATTCAAAGATCCATTCTAATATATAATTCCGAGAAATTCGAACTCCTATGGGAAACTATACACTCACCTCCGTGGGTCCTTGCCCTTGCCATTAGCGATGTGTCCGTGTCGACAGTAACGTGAAACTTTCTCCACTCAAAGTGCATAGGGCCTCCACCCTAGCTATCCTCAAGGGGCAGCCAGATAAGTGAGTTGGCTTGACAAGCAGCGCGTTTGGCGCTTACAGGCGTGTGGTTGGCCATGCGGCAGCCCGGGCTGAGTGTTGAGACGACACTTGGGTATCACTAGCCTCCAGAACTGTTTCCGCGCACTTCTGACCGGAGAAAGTGTCACGCTACTGCAGTGCGGTTCCCTCGTACGAGGCAAGGACCAGGATCCACGAAGGTCAGTGCACACTTTATCCTTTAGCACCACAGAGCGACCCCATACCACTTGCGCACCAATGCTCGTGCCTCTATTGACAAAGTTGGAAGAGGCTTGTACTTAGAGCACAGGAATATCCTGCATAGAGAACGCCACAGATCCGGTTGCCTTCTGATCGAAGGAGTGTTGAGGAGTACTATTTCCTCCTCAGCGTTCACGAAAGTAGATTCAAACGAATAAAGAGGGGCAATAAGAAAGTGCTTGCACTTTGGTTCTATTCCCAGCTTTACGGTGAGAGCTGTGTGATGCTCGCAGCTGTGTTTGATTCCTACAGTGTGCTTCCGTCTCTACTAGAGCACTTTATTCTGAATTCGTGCCTTGTCGTTCGTAAAACAAACTCACGGACAGTGCCTTCACATCTACGATAGTTGTTTCCGACACGGTGCTTTCAACTGCCGAACTCTCCGAAATCATGCTCTCGTTGTCGCAAACTGGACTCAGGTGGGCACGAGAGCAATTATGAAGGGCTGAAAAAGAACTGGTAACGTGTCCAGTGGCACCTAGGGAGACGGTAAAGAGGATCGTAATTCGCCGCACCGCCACGCGCGGCGATGGGCGCGGCGTTTTCATAACTCGTTTTAACCTGTCGAATGAAGCACCGGACTCATGTAGACCCCGTCATCGTAGACAGTCATTACTGTTTTTCGTCGCTTATTGCGTGTTGTCGCCACTACTGCCTGAAACTCATCGCCGCTTTGCGGGACGTCGCAAGCGGCCGACGCCCAGGCAGAGTCGCGGCAAGTTACAGATCCTGCTTTGTCACATACCCGTGGCACCAATCAAACTGAGTAATGAAATGACAGAAATTTATTACTGGATTCTAATTCGTGATAAAACGACCACTGACAAAATATTCTTTAGCACTACCTGCAACGGAAATTAAAGAACCGCGGCGGAAAAAATAACTCGGAAAAATACATAGGATTAACTCCCGGAAAATTTAAAGACCCTCACATATTCATAATCCTTGAATTAAGCTACGAGTGGCCACGCACTTCAGTTGACCTCCGCTTCAATGAGATACTTTGTTTTGAGACTACTGTATCCACGTCTTCGTCTAACAAATAAGGATGTCAGTTCGCCATCGAATTCAAAACCTTACGAGTGAGCCCTGCTAACAGCGTGCTCGAGCATGAAGCTGTCCACGTTCCATGGGTGTAAATAGTGCTGCAGCCCGCTGCTAAGCAAGCCAAAAGAAACCCCTCCCAATGCGCGCACAAATACAGCCTCCGCCGCGAGAGATACCTCCAACCATCGTCGTGGCTCGATCAGAGGAACTGGAGCAAGCCAGAAACGCCGAAGGCTAGCAAGAAACTAGCCTTGTCCCATCCTCATGTAACTTGGCCTTCCACAATTCTTCTAGATACTCTATTCTAACAGTTCATGATTCTCTGCAAATAATAGGGCATGCGACGCGTGGCGCCCGAAAAGCAGTGCTAGCCAAGGTGCTTGTTTTTCTGGCCAATAAATGGCCATCCCTGAGCCCGATAAACAGGGTCAGCATCCGTGATTGTGAAATGGAGGCTTCTGGTTGCGAACCGCTCTCCTCGAGGGAAGGCCTTGGTACGACCGCACCTCCAAGCTGCAGGAGGGTCCGGCGGTACGACAGCTCCTCTGCCTGGCCGCACCTACCTACCAATTTTCCATTTTCCGGTTTTTCACCCAAAAATTTTCCTTAGAGTGGAGAAACCCCTGCTCCCAGTGTCGAGCGGGGAACCCCCTCTCCCCAGCGGGAAAGTACGACCCCCCATGTGCCTTCACACGCCGATGCTCTACCCTGCGCGATACAGTTGATGAAATCTGAACTAGCTGCGCTCCATGCTGTGCCCCCAGCACACGCCTTATCGTTTGCAAGGATCATGTCTGCAGCAGTGATCATTTTGTTTTTCTTTTATTTCTTTCAAATATTCTTGTCACAAGAGTGGATTAGATAGTAAATGGGTATAGCACTTACAGAATTCGAAATCCTGAATGGATCTTCGTCGACCACAGCGGAACTTCTTGGTAAGCCTGAATAAGGAAAGTTATGAGCATGCGTTTGAAGGTGAACTACCCGTTCCGATTCTCTTCTCGGGACCATGCATAGTGTGGAATGTGGCATTTTGGTCTCGCGTCGGGTTTGAGTATGACTCTGATGGTATGGGTTTCCTCCCAGAAGGGGTTTCGCTAGGCCCCCTCACCCATTGACCTGTATTTTAGTATGTGTTCCGTGATATTGTTCCAGATCGCGTGCGCGTATTGTCGTAGATTGGGGCGTTTCAGGGGCCAGTATAAGTAGTGTCAAAACTTCGCGCAAGATGGGGGAAAAAGCCGTTTCGCGGAGGAATCCCCAGAAAAACCCACCCAACCCGCCTCAGAGGAGCTTCCGTCTAGTGTCCTTTTTAAATAATGGGCGTAAATATTCTTTGTAAAAGATCAATGCTGGTCAAACGCTGTGGATAGGGACTCGATCCCGCACCAATTGGCCGTGCAACGATCGCGTAGTTTTGGCAGGCACCAGCCCCAAAATAAGCGGACACGTTACCGCATATGGCCGGTTTTGATGCTTTGACGCATGAATTCGTCAGACTCTTGCAAGGGAAGCACTTAACGGCTTAAATTGGCAGTTTTCCCACTGTCTCCAATTTTACTTTGACCTAACATACCTTCTGGAATGCCTGCATTATCGGTATCCCATTCGGATTCTCCTGAGTACTTCTCCGCCGACGATCAAGAATCTTCCTCCTTCTCTCCTCACTCAGTTTTCGGACTTCCTCTTCGCTTTTCTTTCGTAAAGGATCCTGTTCGTTTTGCAGCTCCTCTTCGCGAAGCCTTAACGTAGGGAATTTGTCAAGTATTGCTAGATTAAACGCAGGGTACAGCATCGTGTTTGACGGGATGCGTCCCCCCCCCTCCTCCTCCCCCAACACCCATCTGCCAATTTCCCACATTTTCCAGTTATTCACCCAAAAATTCTCCGTCGAGCGGGGAGGGGGGGGGAGGCATATAGTACGAAAACAGGAAAAGTCACGCGAAAAGTCAACAAGCGGGAAAAATTTTCTTCCCAACACAGCGAGTTTCTCTAGGAAGTACATACGACCCCAACGACCAAATACGACCCCCCTCCTTAACGGAAAAGTACGGCCTCCTAAGTGTTTCACACAACGATGCTGTCCCTGTACATAAATACTAATGGGTAAGCAGCAAAATTGGATGAAAATGAAAAGCTATCCGGAAAATAATAGAAATCACATAGTAGTTCCCATCAAACAAAAAGTCAAATTCTCCTACACTCTCGTTTACGAAAAATGATGGTTTCTACCTGTTGTGCTCGTGCTCCTCGCGTATTTGTTCCACACAGGCTATACTGACGCTAATGTCCATCGAAGGAGGATCAGGTACGATTGACACTCGTTTTTTTGCTGCCACACATCGATCATGTGCAAGTGTTTCAGCACATATCGTCGGACTTCGCCACCTGAGATTATCATTCTTTGATTGTAAGCAGCCTCTGTGTATCTGAAGTGGTAACCCTCTTTTTGAAGGACCTTTGCTACAGTGGGTAGATGAGGATTGATGGATTGGAGGTTGGATGACTAGAATCGAAAATAGCTTGACGAGTCTGAGCTATAGTCCCCCTGTGACGAGCCAAGTGAGTTAGGACCCAGCGAGCCCCTGGGATGCCACTTGGAAACATTTTGGTATTTTTGAGAGCAATGGTTTTTCTATGCGCTAGGGAGTTCTTTACATCATTTTTTACGATAGTTGATCTGGACAACGAGCCACTGAGGATGGTACAGTACTTTATTGAAGGAGCTCTGAACTGCCGACGTATCACGGGCTGTCTAGCCGGTGCACATCATGGGATGTATGAAAGGGGGCGGGGTCGGTTTGACTTTTTCAAAAACGGGGTATTGGTGCGACACCCTTCGTAAGCTTTTTCGACTTCCAGCACATACTATCGAGAGTTTCCCCAAGGTGTGCTGTTTAGTTGACCGGAAAGAAGCATAGCGGGAAAACTAACAAAAAAAAGTTGTCACAACCCAGGACTTCTTCTCCTCCCTGGTGGGGTTCACCTAAAGATGCTAGGCGCCGTATAAGTGAAGGAACCCCGGAAACCGGACACAAGATGAACCCCCATCGGTGATCCTGCCGTCCAGACTGAAGGTTAAGGTCTACCTGCTCAGCTCCTAATACGGATACAGGGTCCATCCCGAACCAGAGGCGTCGATCAGGACAATTCTATATAAGCATGTGGTCGTTCCTTCTCAAGGACACCCTTCATGATAGTCGGATGGGTACGAGAGCAGGCGTACCTCTAGGCTATTTCTTCTTTTGTAGTGCTCTGGGAAGAGGGGCACTTCGATGAAAATGCTCAACAGTTCATCAATGTGTGGCCCTTTTTGCTATCGCAGAATGTGGGAGCAAAAAAGAAACCTGTTTTCGCAGCCCGAGTGACGTGGTTACAAAGTACCAAGGCGAAAGATACTCTCAAAGCCAGGAGCAGGCTCTGCGGTCATCACCTCTGTACACCGAAATATGAGCATTTCCAAGCGCACTGACCACTGAAGAATGCCTTATGGAATCAGCCAATCCTAAACGGTCATGTAGAAATTCTTGTTATCTAGCTCTTTTCCTGGACAGCTACTTGAGGGACCAGGCACTCTTGATCTGCAAAGACTCCCCATCAGCAGTCTCCGAAAATAACGTCGGCTACGTCTTAGGGTATCATCTTCCCGCCGGTCGCAGGGTGGCGAAGTTGCATGGTAGGAAAATATCGGTTTCCCATGTCCGGAATTCCGGATTGGGAAGACCGGTATTACTTCTTCGTGGATCCGGGACTGTAAACGTGACGCTGACGGTTTACATCGCCAACTCTGAGGCGAATATCCTGCCTTTTATCGGTCGTACCTGTCTTTTGGGAACTTCGTATGCAACAGGATCACGGTGCCAGTCATGGATCGAAGGGTTGAAATAACCTGAACGATGACGGAATTATCCAAGTGTTGTACTGACTTAAATCCCCTCGTTTACCGAATTCGGGGCGAAGCTCAAGGGTGGTCTACAGTGGCGGAGAAATCAACGATCTCGCTGAACTCAGGCACCGACTCACGGTCGCGCGGCAGAATCTCTCGATGGCGCTCCTCCAGAAGGCTGTAGGCGGATAGTGATAATGTGTTTTGAATATGATGGTGGAAATGTCCAATCAGAATTTTGGGTGAAGTATAAAGTGTTCTATCGCCTCGAAAAGTCGGGAGAAAATGTCTTTTTTGTTCCGCCCCCCTTGTAAAGCACGTGGTTGTCATCTCAACGACATTCTTCATGGGCACTAGAAGCAGGCATTTACACTCTAGGCTATTTTCTTTTAGTGCCTGGAAGAGCCGCCTGATGAAAAATGGCCAACGTTTCAGGTAATGACCCATTGCTATCGCCAATATGAGTTGCACAGAGAATACTGTGGGATGATAGACAGGGTGTTTTATTCCTTGAGAAGGTTCTGACTCCAATTATTCCCTTAAAAAAAATTACCCGCTGCTGAGGTTTCGCATTACAGTGTTATATTCATGGCCTGACTAGGTGATCGTTCCTTTGATCCGCGACGAGTTGGACTGCCACTTTGTGAGCCTGACTGAGACATTCGAGAGCCACGCCGTGAGCGTACCTAAAATGTCTATATTTGCATATTCTTAACAAACGATACCATGATATTTCGCAGCTTCATTTATATACCTTCACCAAAGTGGAACCTAGTTAGTTAACATGAACTAGCAATAAGATACTGGACTAGCGAAAGCGCAAACACTCACTTTCCTCCGTGATCCGTTTGAATAATTAGTGGATGGTTATCATTACAACGGTCATGCGACCAGCGCTTTCTGTGCTCTCCATGCTCGAACTCGAAACACGAAAGTGTTCTTCTGACCTTCTCCTGCTGTGCGTCTCTGAGCGCCTGCCAGTCAAAGAGCAGCATGGTGGCAGTTTCGGCGGGCGCGGCGAGGGGCATTTTGCACTCCTCGAGCCCGTTTTAAGAGGACTCTTTTACTTGAGCCAAGACAAGAGGATGAACCAGCTGTTCACCATGGATGACGCTATTAGAAAAGCTTGCTCCAGTTCACATGATCATTTACCAGCCGGACAGCTCGCGACCCGGATTTTTAGCAGTTTCACACGGTTTTCATCAGTGTATGGGAACTTCGCGTGAACCGGAAACGGTAAGTAAGCAGTTGTGAAGGTTACAAATGCCACTCTCGCCTCGGTCGATACAAGCCGCCGCTGCCATACTATCCCAGCAAGTTACGTTGATTTAGGCTCACTATCGTTACTCAATCAATTAAGAGCAGTTTACTCTGACGTTTGTGAGGTGGAGTCAGTCAAATGCAATGCTATCTCTGCTGGAAGTTGACGAGCCTGCCCCTATATCGTCTTATAAGAGGGGAGCACCAATGAGTGATGCACAACTGTAATTATCACCACGCCCGTGCAGTCAGCGTTGCTGGCGACAGGCAAAGTGGGCTATGCGATCACTGTTTACAACGCCGTGTTAAAAGACATGCCACCAAGAGAAAAGGCGTGCTTCCTCCCCAGCAGCTACTTTTGACGTGAGGATATACCTCTCCCCTTGAGAATTGATAAGAATGTGGAGTTCGCACAGGTCGAGACAAGTAACACAAGATTGCTGAAAATTATGCGGCAAAAGCCAGACATCCAGGCGAGACATTTAGAACCTGCATCTCCAGGCTGAATCCCGGCGGACCAGTGCACGGCGTAGTTCGGGCAGAGGGGGGGCGTGGGCATGTTTACTTTTTTTTCACATTCCATATTAGTGTTTGAGCATCGAGGAGCCTTACGACGAGTTAAACACTTCTGAATGTGGTGGCTGGACGAGCTTGCTCCAGCTACGAATTCACAGGTTTCACCGGAGTGAGGCTTGTAAACCGGAACTACTGAAGCTGCAAAAGTGCAAATTGCAACCCCCCCCCAAACAGCCGCCGTGAGTGCACTACTACTCTCGGCCACGCGAGCACCCTTCAGCTTCTCAGTCCAAAGGTTTGGTGTTTACCTTACAGCTCTCACAATTTTTGACTTGATGGACGGAATCATGCGCAAAGAACAAGAAAGTAAACCGTAAGCCTCCCTATCAATAATAACCCGTGGTAGAGATTGCCGTTTATCGGCGCTTTTAGCCACTGATTGTCCAAACATGTACAGCTGATGGTGTCTTAGCTTCTTGAAGATTTTGATATAGAGGTATACCACGATGGCACCAGGTAGAAAGAACGAAAGAAATGATGATAACACCTGCAATAAGCACTGACCAGACAATCCTTTTAAAGGATAAGGGATAAAGTCTTCGCTGTTGATCATCCCTTTGCGGGGGAATGCGGCATCGCAATTTCTACTTCCATTCCAAAAATCGTGTGGCTTATTGAATTGCGATGTGGCCTCATATAATGACTGCGGGGGGCCAGACCGATGTGACAAGTCCTGTTCTATCCTCCAGACGAATCCGTACCAAATTCACCACCCTCGGAGGGTAGAGGCTTTGATGGCTTGACCAGGAAACGACCCGGGATTTGCTCCGAAGAACGCGCAAGTGATAAGCGCGCCACTTGTCAATACACCACCTCGCTCTGAAAACGATCGCTTCAATCCAGAAATCCTTACCGTTGTCATTCGGGATATATTTCAAATACCGTTTTTCTGGGGTAACTAAGGCGCAACATGTATGCGGTGCTACGTATTTGCTGTGTGCTCGCCTTTGTGAGTGATTCGTATGCATAATAAGTGCTTCAAAAGTAATTAGAAGATACAGGGTGTGCAAAGAAAAATATTACAAAGCTGTTGCTCGTGCGTTTTCCATGCCCAGAAAATAGCACACGGCTTCAAGCGGGAAGGAAACGACGAGTTTATTAGGAAACAACGCAGGTGTACATTGCTTGACATGAAGACTACATTATGCCCCTACGGGTGGTAAGTAACTATCTTGCTTAGTTCAATAAGGTTACCAAGCCATCCCAAGCACTACATTTTCCAGCACATACAATCAATTTCCTTCTCTGGCGGATTTGGAAGCCCTGTGCTTCCGAATGGGTCCACAAAATAGGACGAAATTAAAGCGATTAAGAAGAATTGTCTGATAGTCTGAAGTCTTTCCGGGGAATCACATAGCATTCAAGGAATATATGAGCCCAAAAACTTACAAGATCAAGATTCCTGTTCAAATCAGATGCGATCTGTCGTCTTGGGAGGACTACCAAGACGTTAGGTTATTAAGGGGCGGGGGAGAGGGGGGGGGGGACACGACTCAGCAAGCCCTTGCTAATCTTGACCGTGCAATTTCAAGGAGGCCTGACAGGTCAATGTGCCTTGTCATTCAAAAAAAATACGATGTTGAGGCACACTTAACGCTGAAGGGTTGGGCGGAGACAGCTGACCATTGTGTCCTTCTAATGAAGTGCTCCTCGATGGAGTTGGGGGGGGAGGAGTGCATTTGGCCTCCATTGAGAGGGTAATCGCATTTAACCCAGAACAATTTCTTAACGGGACTGACCTGATATCTCTAACTTTAGTCGGTATGGCAACTTTATTGTTCCTGATAAGTGAGAGGAGGTGTACAACCCTACCCCTCCCCTGCACCCGATTAACGGATAACAGGAGTCGCACTTGTGGAGAAACCTGATGGGCTCGTTATGAGAAATACGATTCCCTGGGCGCCATCCTTATCCTCCTCAACAAAATGGGAAGCACAGTGGTAGACTTTCTCCGCCCATGTGACGGCCATGAACTATGTCATTAACCAGTTCTAGGGACTAGTCATAACCACAGGCTCAGCAATACCACATTGTCTCCTAGTTTCACCAGCGACAGGTCCTCATCTTTTTTCTTACAGACAGATTCAAATATTTGAAGGAATTTGAGTGAAGTTTGAGTTTTAAGTTTGAGTGAATTTGAGTGGGTGATTTCAACAGCTAACTCACAATGTATTGCGGATTATCGATCCAGCATATTGTAGAGGAGGGGTTTTTTTGTTCCATGAACAGTGTCGAACTGACCGCCAACGCCATAAGCCATATCATCACCAGGTATGGTAAGGTTGACGTGGACACGCTGTGTCTTTGGTATTCCGTGGGAAACATGATGGCAAAATATCTGAACAAATATTAAAATAATTTGCTTTACAAAGAGCTCAGTCATTATCAAGGGAGTCAGTCAGGGCGTGTCAGCACGGGGTGGCTTTTGGCGCGGCGCCAGCCCTTTTTCCGTCAATCGCTGCGGCTTCGGTCGTGCAGTAACTGGTGGAAAAGGGTTGGAGCCGTGCTAAATCGACGTCACGCTGGCACGCCCAGACTTTAAAGATAACTCCGTACACAAGGAAGTAAGACCAAAGTGCTGGTCTAAAACTCAGCAATAGCTCACCGATCTAAACTGATGGCCACTAGATGAACGATACTGGCGGTGGTGGAAAATACACCCGAAACGAGATGAAACTGACACCATGTATAGCCAAGTGTCCATTCGTCGTTATGTATCTGTGAAAAGAAAATTCAAGCATTTCAATACCGTAGAAAAATCCCCAAAAAGTCCTAAAACCTGTAGGTTATTCACTTTATAGTAGAGTGACAGCGGCATGACGACCATTCCAACCAGTAGATCGCTGACGGCCAAGCTTGCAATGAATTTGTTGGTCGTCACCGCTTTCAGTTTGCGATCCAGGAGCACGGCCAGAATGACGACACCGTTACCGAACACCACCATAACGATGAGCAACAGTAGTACCACATCGCTAAGGCCCCAGTAGACATCGACCTGAAAGGATTATAATTGTTGAGGGCACATTCTGCGATTGCAGCTTCGTAGGGAGTGACGTTCAAAAACGAAAGTGCCTAGCTTACTGACTTAGTGGTGAGGAAGAAGCACAAGGGAGGACCGACCTCAATAGAGACCCACTTCTTGCAGTTGACCCTTATCACTGGACATGCATAACCTTATCAGAATCTCTGTGAGACGTAAGGGGCGACGACACTTGATTGGGGCGGCAAGAGTCGCGACGCGGCTGCGGCGTGTCGCGAGCGCGGCGATCAGCTGTTTTCAGTCTATTTTAGCCACATTTTCCTGCTAATTTACACTGTTATGGCTGCTTTTCGCGAGATTAGTTGTTCGTTGTCTTCACAATATAAATTATGATTGAGATTCCTCTCTTTTTGCGCACAATTAAACAGTTATGCAGACAATTGTACAAACATCTGAGAAAAAAATCGCTAAAACACTCTATTACAGGAACAGAAAAAGACTCCACGCCCTAATGTACTTCATAAAGACAATAAAACAACAAACCTTTGAAAAAAATAGAAAATACAGTGAAAATTAGGGAGAAAATGGCCAAATTAGGCTGGAAACAGCTGATCGCCGCGGTCGTGACGCGCCGCAGCCGCGTCGCGACCCTTGCCGCCCTAATCAAGTGCCCGGATGACTGTACTTGCTTCTCGAAGAATTCTTTTGGGAAATGCCACTCCCAAATTTTCTCCTCTGTTAGACCCCTCCCTATGCAACCTACCACAAAACTGATTTGACGGACTTTCCCCTACTTCCTTTACTTGCCCTACCACTTCTTCGATTTTTTTTTTCGAAAATTCCTTCAGAAAGAGAAGGTATAAAAGGCCTTCGGAATGCCTCAAAAATGGCGACTGTTTAGGCTGCAGCACGCAGTATAATTCATTTGAAAAGTGTCGATCAGAGCACATTGTGTTAGGGGGGTTTCTAACCCATCGAGGGAAAGGTTTAGTTGATCGTTGTGTTGAAGGGTCACACTTGGTTCAGCAAGTATTCTTCCTAATTATTGATGCGAGAATTTTTCTGACTACTGACTCTCCTCGTTTCAGGAACTTGTCTGTGGAGCGGGAATTTTGTTATTTCTGACAGTTTTTCAGAGAGGACCGCTCCACTTACCCTCACTACTCCACAGATTTGTGGGGAACGTACTGAAAGAAGCCCTCTCCAACAGAGTTGTGTACTCTAAACCCGAGGGACCATACACTAGCATTTCCACGGCGCTGTTATCGACGGGGGGGGGGGGCATTTTGTATTATAATTGCTTCCCTGGTTCCGGTTTACAAATCTCACTCTGGTAAAACTTGTGAACGCTTGTGAAGCTGGAGCAAGATCGTCTAGCCACCATCCTAAAACGTGTCAACTCGAAAAAAGGGTACCTAGATGGGTTGGCAAATCTATGAAAAGCAGAATGCCCCCCCCCCGTCGATAAACAGCATTTTATGAATTCATGCCCAAGTCTCAAACTTGACCCCATTTCGTACCAGTCCTAGCGCTGTTGTAGCGCATTTCTTGCCCTAACTCCACTAGGATGACTGGGATGGATATGTTTCATGACGACAGAGCTGCTAGATCGCGATTCCTAGATTTCTGGTATTGCATAGCGTGGCCATTACCCTCGAGTAATGAACGCCGCGCTAGCGCTTGATTAAACGAGTAAAACTCCCTTGAGACAAAATCGATCACTTCACGAAACAGCACTAAAGATGCTTTGATGATATTCACACTTCGAAAAGTAACTAAAACAGTCTGAATGACAGTACCTGAAATCTTGGAAAACCGCTACTTTATAGTATTTGTGTTACCACTCATAATGTTGGTCTAGAAAATAAGTAGGCAGTTGGCTCTAAAGTCTGCTGTCCAGGCGTGCGCTATGCATTATACCTTCATTCCGAATTATAAGGCCTTTGGTTGTGATCTGGCCACAAAATAACATTCAAGACGGTTTGGTAGGTTCGATAGGAAAGAATGGCTTGCATAGACTAAGAAAGACCACCCTCGGATTTGTCCTCCGACCATACACGCGATGAGCAGCATCATCTGCCACTACATCACCACCAACCACTAGGCGCGTAAGAGCTTAGGGGCGGTTCGAGGGGTGGAAACTTCAGTTCGGTGACAGAGGGGGGGTGGGGGCATTCTGCACTTTTGCTACTTCCCATCGACGTGTCGACCCATCTAGACAGCCTCTTCTCGAGTTGACAGGTTTTACCATGATGGCTTGACGAGCTTGCTCCAGCTTCACAAGAGTTCACAGGTTTCACCAGAGTGAGACTTGTAAACCGGAACCAGTGAAGCAACGAAAGTGCAAAATGCCCCCCCCCCCCGCCGTGCTGCGCTGAGATTAGTGAGCCGTTTTTCTTCCATGAAATTTGAGTGTCCCTTAGGATCTTCCAACAACTCTTTCAAAGCGCGCTCTGACGTCAATAATGCCGTAATGGCTAGCTTGAAGCTGTCAAAAAACTGTTACTATGCTGACTTTGATGGATTTCGTCACAAAGCAAGGTTGATCACCCAATGTCGCACGAGTTCTCTGAAGAAAAACAACTTCAAAAAGTCGTGATACCGTTCTGAGCGCTCGTAGCAAGACCCTCAGCTGTATAGACCAGAAACTGTTCCAGAAACAACTCCTTGGTTATGTGCAATCCATATCACAGCGATAGGGAGGGTGCGGCCACGTGCTGGACATGGAGTAGAACGCTTTCCTGTAGGATCTTCCGGCGCAACTCGGCCATTTGGGAGGGGGCATTTTACACTTTCACTGCTTCACTAGTTCCGGTTAACAAGTCTCACTCTGGTGAAACCTGTGAACTCTTGTGAAGCTGGAGCAAGCTCGTCAAGCCATCATGGTAAAACCTGTCAACTCAAGAAGAAGGCTCTCTAGATGGACACGTCGATCGAAAATAGCAGTAGTAAAAAATGCCCCCCCCGTTGCCAAACTGCACCGGATCTTCCCATTCGAGATCCGTCGATCCTGGCTAGTGCTGGGCAAAGACATGATCTGCACTGTCACAGAAGTACAATTCCACATCAAGAGCGCGGCAAAGTCAGGCCCTTCCCATCTCAGGAATTCCGAGTGTACTACCAGGGTTGAATGTTCCAGTCGTTCAATTGAAAATAGCAAATTTCTACTTCACTCACTTTTTATGCCGTTTTTGCGCTACTTTCACTTTGTACGGAATAAAACATGTAGTATTTCCGCAATGCGTTTCTCCTTTGCACTACCGGGACTTAACACCTGACCTAAGATAGTCCTCGCACATACACTACATTTGCGCTCTTGGCGTTCTGTGAATGGAAGCGTGTTTGTTCCATTTGAACCCTTTTCCAACCCGTTCGCTCAACTATGAGCTGAAGCCATCGGCCAATGTCATTGGACTGGCGCTAATTCCCTGAGGAGTTCGAGTAAACGCCTGCTTAAACGGAATGTCCATATTGTGGGATAGATTGCATCGCAATGAGCTGCATTTACCCAACGAGACCATTCTCAACAACCCACAACAGCACTTGGAACCACAGTTCAACCACAAGAGGAACCTTTGAGGCAACTGAGGAATTTGTACTCCATGAAAACAGGACGATCATGCGCGCTCACTCAACCTACCAATCAAAAAAACCATTCAGGATTCTCCGCTAAGGGAGATGGGGTGTGCGAACTGGTGATCGAAGATCAGGGAGGCAACCGCTATTGCCAAGGTTTCAGAGATCAGGCTGGTCGGCAGGCAAGAGCTTCCGAGGATAACCGCTGGACCAGAGCGATTACCGACTGGATTCCGGGATGTCAAACGACCAACTGGACGACCCCCTAGATGGTCAGATTTCTTCGTTGAAAGCTCTGAACGAATGGTTATGAATTCGTGGTGTCCTCAAGCAGAAGAGCGCGTTGCAGAGCCGTTATCGGCGTCTGAGTTCGCTTACCAACGGGAGCACAGGTAATACAGGTGATATGTTGGCCGTAGAGGTCAGTTAGGGCCCTGATCACCGAACAGACACTCGTTTTTGCGCGGGTCCGATTTGGCGCTAACAGATGCCAATTTGGGAACCATATTGTTCACCAAAATCTCCTTCTTGCTTAGAGGGGTTCGCTCTCCCGATACGATGATGCCAATTCTCCCACTTAAGCGGCTGGTCGGTGTGGATACCAGCTATTCTCAAGTCTGTATGCAGCGTGTCAAGCTGGAAAGTTTTTTAGACCGTTTTGGGGCAATTCGAACTGAAGACCATTTTTACAAAAGATTTCTTCTTTTTCCACCAAAATCAATATAATATATAATACTTCTGACGCCGACACCTTATGGGGATGGATGGTGCCGTCGCCGCGATTGAAGCGATCTAGTCATCTGCGCTCCACTGACGCTTGGATCGGGGAGGGGGAACAATCCTCCTGCGATGGTCAGCCTTAGGTACAGCCCCATAGCATCAAAGATCCACTGCGCTACTAATCACGGGATCAAGGATCAAGGGAGTAGCCCCTACATTCAACTCCCAGCAGGAAGATAAATCGGATTTCGGACCACTTTCAGATGTCCTCACTGGAAACTGAAAAATTTTTTTCTTAAATTAGTGACCAAGGCTTAGGGACAATGCAAACACGGCTAGCTACTTAAGGAAACCTCAATTAGAGGGACGCACTCAAGTCAGTATCGCACTGTTCTTGCTGTGGGGAATCCTCATGAAGAGGAGATGCTCTAGTAGTTTTGGCGAGGTAGAGAGGAGGGGCTATTTTGAGAAAGGAACATGGGTAGCTTCCGATGTCCAGCATATGCCTGGCAGAATCTTCATCAGAAGCAGGATGAGGCAAGTAGCAGGGTGATCTTCGATGTTTTCCGGTGAACGTTCTACTTGAGGCTGCCCTGGATTTGAATCGTTTTAAACAATTTTAGCATCGTCGTGGGCGCCCTTCGAACCTTTTGCCATCGCTTTCATTC